AAATCACAAGTTGTGAGGTTTGACGTGGGCGCGACTTGCACTGATTTCGGCTGGCGAGTCCCTCGATACCTTCCAATCACATGAAAATTACCTAATTAAAGCTTGGAAACGTGTCAGTTCGTACTCGTTGATCTGCGCAACAGTCAAAGTCGCTATCTTTGTTTATATGAGACCCATACATCTCGCACATGCGCAGCGTGATGACTACCGCGCTTTAAATTATTTTGTTTCACTTTTCGCTCAATAGCTAAGATGATACCCGCCATGTTAAAGATTCAACACTTTCTAAAACTACTGTAATCCACTTTAATTTTCCAAGAGACATGGCAAATTTTTCGTCAGTTGAAAATCAAAAAATTTCCAAGCAGTTAATTTTTTTTCAAGCTTCTCAGACATGGTATGTCGGTGTCCCTCACAAAATTTTGTATTTATTAATTTTATTAATTAAAAATTCTGTAAGTATGAAATTTTATAACTGCAGTAAACATGGAGTTCATAGTGTTAGACCATTATTTTAATGTATATAACAGATTTTTTTTAAACAAGAGAACAGGGGCGCAGCACCCTCATGCCATGGCCATGCACCCCACTTACCCTGGGGAGCAGATCCTCAACCATAGAATTCTGATTGACCAGGGATCACATGTGGCCACAGTTTTCAACTGTGACCTGTCTGATAGTAATTTTGGCCCAAGGAAGCCATAGAATGCTCCATTTTAACTTAGAATTATCGAAAACTCCACACCCTGGTAGGGAGAACCCTATTTTCCCCACTTGGTTGCGTTGCTAAATTGCAGTGCTCCATCTTGCAGTTTGTTTCTAGAAAAAAACCTGTATAATATGGTTGTATATCAAATATGGCAATTTGTGGCCAAGCACAAGGGTCCATTTTACATGCCTCTAATGTCACGAGTTTACAATATCCAACCAAACACGAGTACTGCCATCTTAAACAAGCATTCTCAGTATAGTCAATACAAGCTTCACTGGATTGAACTAGTATGAATGCCAATTTGAAAGCATGTAATAACCTTTTTAAATTGTTTATGAATTGTAGGCAAGAACAAATGATAAAAGAATTACGCAATCGTACGCCAAGACCAACAACAACACAGAATACTGAGCCATATGACGATGTAGAAGCGACGCAACCTTCATCAAAACCTACTCCAACACCGAGACAAAGGCAGATGCCAAGAAAATGATTATTCATTCATCAGTGGGAAACTGATGAAATGTTCAACTTTGTCCTTTAAATTCTTTGAGAATCTTATGGTGAGGTAGTTCTTTAATGGTCTTAAAAAGTAAACAGAAATTTCAGCTTTTCGATAATATTATTATACATCTTTAGAGGGTTTTTTTTTTGAAACCAAGTGTGTATTACATGTTTACGTCAGGCCCTGTAGCTCAATTTCAGTAAACCAAGCACCATAATTCAAAATATACAAATGTCATAATATTATCAAATAGGAACAATTCCTCGCACACAATTGTGTAGTTTACAGTAGTGCCCAATATTACATTTAATGTGAAGTGTACTTACCATTTTTTCCATTTAGTCTTTTTAAAATTTACAATATAGAACCAACTACATTATTGTCCTACTAAAATATAACCAATTACTGGTACCTTTTTTATTCTGAAATATAAACCCCTTTGTTGAGCAGAGCTTATCATGTGAGTGATTGTTGGCACCAGTCGTCATCGTTCGTGTCAACTTTTTCAACTTCTTGAAAACTACAAGCCTGAATGCTTTGATACTTGGTGTATTATGTACCTTGGATAGACCTCTTAGATTTGTTCATTTCATGTTACCTTTAATTCTCTAATTTTGGTGAATATTTTTGACTTCTTGTTAAAAACCGCAAGTCCATATGCTTTGATATTACATATATAGAGGCACTACATGTGGACCCCTCTTGTGACAATATCTTTAATTATCTAATTTTGATGAATATTTTGTAATTTTTAGTAAAAAGTGATATTTTCGACTTCTTGTTAAAAACTGCAAGTCTGATTTGCTTTGATACTATACATATTGTTCATTTTCTAATGATATCTTCTGTTCTTTAATTGTCATGTGCATTGCTAAGAGCAGAGCTATCTCAGCCGTCAGGCTGCTTGTTTCAAAGTATTATAATCATAGGTGCTGGTCATTGCACCATGAACGTAAGATAGTTGTGTTGATGAAACTTGATTTTCCCACAATATATAATTTTCACCTCAATATACATATTACTAGTTAACAGGGATTTATTTTTATATTATTGCATATTGCAAAGCCAAACAGAAGACTTGTGAGTATTATTAATAAAGGTCCTTGCATTTTAAAAATGAATTGTGAACAATTATTTAAGCAGATTTTTTAAAGTTGAATTTTTACATTTTTGGTATTGCATTGTCACATTCATTTATAGTTGTGAGCTATTTTATTTTATTTTAACTTTTCAATTTACCATTGTTTTTCATGAAAGCATATATCACTCTGACTGAGAGCATGACAAAAATTTGTTGCAAAATTGTATTTTTCAGGGGTATTAGCTGAACTGTATTTTTTTTTGATCTTCCTACAAAGTGACATATCTGCTGCTATCAGATTTTGTACAAATAAAAACAATGTATTTTATATATCGTACAGTATGGGTCACTTTCAAATCTGTACAAAAAAGGGATCACAGCAACTTAGTAATTGTATTCACATATACTGAATGCAAGAATTGTTTGTATTACATGTACATCATGATAAATAAATAAAATTTATTCTAGTGCAGAAATTAAATAACAATTAAAAATTACTTTTGTCAATTTTTCCCTAATTGTTATAAAAAACATGACTGTCAACAAATTTTGCTCTGAAGGATACATGATTAATAATAAAAAATAAATCTTGAGATATAATTTCAAAAAACATGCAAGGTTAGGACAAGTTGCAACTTTTCTGATTTGATCTGGAAACCCAGCAACAATTCAAGTTATTATTCCAATCATTGAAATACAAGATACAATTGCCCATTGCGTTGATAAAATATTTTTAAAAAATGTGAGTTTATATAATTATTCCCATTTTCTATATTTACTCAGAAAGTTCATTCGTCAATGTAATTTTCAAAGTTTTTTGTATTATTAAATAATCAAGATTGCTTGTTTAAGGGAACTGTGATTTTTGCTTCTTTATTTTTTAATGTATGTTATTTTGAGTCAAAATATCGAATGTTTTGGTAACTGGGAAATGTGTTGGGTCACACGACTTGTAGTATTATGCTAAAACCCACACAATGAGATAATATTCAAGCTGCGTTTACATGTTGACTGGCCCAGTCTTGGCAATTCTATTGGCTTTTTTGCCACTCACATATACATTTTAACACTCACTTACGTCACTTTTTGCTACTGACATCTTGGTATTCGCATGTGATACTTTTTATGCTAATTCTTTAAAGAACGAGCTTGTAGAATCCCTCGCATTGACGCAAAATGTTCATGACTGTTCTGTTCTGTTCTGCCATGCCCTCTATAGTTGTCACCGCATTTTTGTGGTGAATTTGCAAAGGCACAAGATATTTACATACACCTAACTCCCCAACCCAGTAGGCAATTACTGGGATACATTTGGACGGCTCAGTGACCGTTGTGAATGCAATAAAGTTACATGCCCGCCTACGTGACAGTTAATCTAAAACACTGGACCAAGATTTCAGATGGGTTCATCTTACTTTTAATGTTCAGGGTAAGCTCATTTTTTTTCTATTAGCGGCTAGAACATTGAAAGTTTTTCTGCTACCTCACACAGCCATTTTGAGGTGAAACGCCACAAAACTTTTACCACGCGTATTCTTGAACACCTGGATGGCAATGTTTGGGTTTTGCTGGCTTGGCTTGGTGAAAGTTGTACCACCGTGATTCAATGGCAAGCATAACACTGCGTGCTGGCAGAGATAGAATTCTGCGTGGATGATTTGGTAGTAAGCTTAGGGATGAGTTGAACACTTTGTTAACTCCCTGTGTTCTTTAGTTTCAAGGCGTAGTATAGTTTCTTCCTCGACGCAACTGAGATGAAATATACACCATAAATGGACATATGTTATGTCTTCTAGAATTAAAATGAAGTAGAATCAGATAAAAGGAAGTTCAGCAAACTGATCTAGGCGCTGAACTGTAGAACAATATATAGAAAACTAAATTCATTACTTCTCGGTGTCTTCCCTTATTTATTTACTGCATATCCTGAATAATAAATAGCAATGAATACGCCTCAGAATAGAATTCACATTTTCTCTGCTTTTGGTTAGATTGCCGAAAGTATCGAAATATAATTCTGCGTGGGAGGTTGGATAGACCACCTGTGACAAATTCTCGTCGGGCCACGATTTAAGAAAAGTAAGATTATAATATTGTTACGGCTGGGCCAGTCTAGTGACCTAGTTGCCCGTCTTAGCTTTACGGGCATCTAGATATCAGTAGAACAATAATTAATGGTATTGTATACATAATATTTAAACACACAAATTTTTTTATAGAGAAAGCCGAAAGTTAGCATTAGGGGTGCATGCGAGTCATAATAAATATTTAACAATGCCGCCACTGACGAAGTACATATGCGCTATAAAATAACTTTCACTAATGCCTGGTAGACACGAGCTTTCAGGCAAAATTCATTCGGGAGATTTATTTATGCAAAAGATTTTGATCACTCGTGGTAAAAAGGTAAATATCTATCGTATTTGATAATTAGGCAAGGTGGTCATCTATCACAACACCTGATCACTGTTTTACATAGATGCATGTAGACTTGGCAACAAACTCAATGATATTGGTTTTTGTTGTCATTTATCTGAAAAATGTATTAATGTACAAAGTTTAATATTGCCTGTCTGTGAAGTGCTTGAATAGTTTGCCGACATGTTTTTTTTCCCAACGCCATAAGATCAAATCAAAGTGTATGTATATACTGCCTCCTCGTAGTACCAGTACTATTAATACTGTCCCTCACATGTAAGTAAGTAAGTAATTCTTTATTGCTATCGTATCCCATTTGAGATCTTGACATAAAATACAATAAAGTCAAAAACATGTAATAATAAAAAAAATGAAAATAAAAGGAAATACTAAAAATACGTATCTCACAATAAGAGATAAATGAATAATTGTAATATAATGTAAATAAATGTA